TTACCTTCTCAAAAGCCGGAAACAAAAGAGCAAGAGAGATCTGACTGTACATCTTAAGGAGGTGTTCACAGGTTGAATTCACTTTTTAATGGTCAAAACTGCTGTCAATTTTAGAAATGACTGATAATTGGTCAGGAGAAAAGACTCCCATCAGCCACCAGCAGCTTCAACTTCCTTAGCTCTCAAAACCACCTTAAAGGTAAAGCTACCCCATGACAAGAGCAAGGGCTGGGGCAGAAGGAACGCATTGCTCCTACCCTAGACAGATTTATATTACTCGTATTTATTTCTTTTTTATAAATAAATAAATAAATAAATAAACATAAATAAATATACATTTGCCTATATTTATACCTTAATTATAGATTTCTATATTTTCATTTCTATAATATTTATTTAAAAGCCCTGCCATTAACCAAATAAAAAACAATAAGCACCATCACCATAAATGTATATTTAAATATTTTTAATGCCTATTTTTATCAAATTTATATTCATATTTATATACTCTATTGAACCACGTATAACACAACAGGCATCATATATTAAAAGACAGTTCTCTTAACAATTACACATCTATTATTCCTATTATATATTAAATATAAGTCTATTTGTATCTATTTATAACACTTGTATTTATTTCTTTGTGTATATATCTATGTCTTCATATATTTAATATATATTTGTATATTGTACATTTTATTTAAAAGCCTTACCGATACCCAAATAAAAACAAGCAAGCTTTTATTTTCAACTAGATTTAAATAATTCTTTTCAACTTAGATTTATAATTTTTACTTACATTTTGTATATATTCTTGGATTCATTCTATGGAATATAGCTTAAAGCATGTTACAATAACCTACATAATATTACTTATATAAATAATGTAAATAAACATGCACATCTAAAGGACAACATTTTTTATTTCCATGTCCTTCTATTTTTACATTTATATCTCTACTATATATTTCTCTTTCTATTTTTCTGCTTTTTGACATTTGCATTTCTTTCTATTTTAAACTCTATCAATTCATTCACCTAACACATCACAGTGACAAAAATATAATGCCCTAGTCCACCTTAGTACGCATCTCTATGGAACTTAGACACAAAAATTTCAGTCGGTGCATTTTAACCCATCATTGATGCATAGATGTATTTTATACATTCACATTTTACAGGTATATAATACAAACCCCATTTTCTTAACCCTAACCCATTACAGACATAACAAAACCCTAACAAGGGAGTGGACAGAGAGAGGGTTTCTTTCCAAAGGAATTTAGAGAGATCAATTCCTATTCCTTGCCAATACCTAACATAAAAACCAAAAAAATTCGAGAGCTTTTTGGATTCTGCACCCAGACTTCCCTGTGAATTTCCTGGCAGCTTGGGTTCCCTCTGGGAAGGACGCCCAGCAGGAGCCCTCCCCATTCCACACTCAGCTGCTGCTACTCCACCGCAGCATGTGCCTCCCTCTTGCAGGGACCTTGGTGTGTCCCAAAGTTGCATGGACCCCCCCCCAGTCTCAGCCCTTGTTCCTCACCCTGAAAGAAGACAGAGAAGAACTCCAACTGCCCTGGACAGCAGCACCTTACTTTATTGGAACCCTGTCCCGGTCTTGACCCCTCCCAAAAAGGACCTTTGCTGCAACAAGAAATGGAGGCAGGTCCCAAAAATCCCTCCCCAGAACCCCCAGGCACAGGCCAGAGGCAGAAAGAGGGAGTGGCAGCAGAGAGGACACAGGAAGAAATAAAAGAACGAAAGAATGGGCTGTAGGATGAAATAGAAAAACAAAACAAAACAAACATAAAAAGCAAAACAAAAAAAAAACCCCACAAAAATAAAACCCCAGAAAACCAAAACCCCAGCCAAATTAAAGACCTGGGATGGGCAGCAAGACAGAGAGGGATTGAAAAAGAACAGTGACAGGGAAAGGGATACAAGGATCCAGTTGGAAACAACGGCACAGGGAGCAGCAGAGAGTTAGATGGAAAGGCACGTGAGTGAGGTATGGAGAAGGACCCAGAAAAAGGCAGAGTGCACAACACACAGCAAGGACAGAGGGATTCTGGGACAAAGAGGGAGACAAGGAGCCAGAGTGGAAAGGACCACGCCAGGGGCCGGTGGGTGGCAGGATGGACAAGGTGCTTCTCCCTCCAGTCACTACAGCAAGCGCAGTTTCCCTGGAATTTCACGTCTCTTCCAAGCACAACAGGTGAACAAACAGCAGCACAGATCCACTGGTCTCCAATGCTCTGCAATCTAGAAGGAAAAGGAAGGAAAAAGACCAGTTCATTCAGCCACCAAGGAGAGTTGCTTATCCCAAGACACCTCATTCTAGGCACAGAAACCATTTCTGCCACTCGAACAAACCCACTTGATGCTGTCTGTAGTCGATGGCAGCTACTTAAACCCTGTCTCAAGAATCACAGGGACACAAGGCTTGCAATTCTCAGAAGGGACTCGGCTGAGTCTTCAAGATTTTCCCACCCAGAGAAGCCAGCGATCCCAGCTTGAAAGAGCACATTTCCTTCCAATCCCATAGAAATTGCCCTGTGCTGACAACACCGAGGCTGCTTCCACATGCAGGCAAAACAGTGCTGCCGCCAACTGTGCCCTTTGGGCAGCAGCAGCAGCAGCAGCTGGAGGAACGTGAACAGCAGTGCCCCAGCAGTGCGCTCCCAGCTGGTTCCATTTGGCACTCGGCTGCAGCTGCAGGGAGCTGAAAATCCCCCAGGGAAAGCGTGGCCGAAGGCCTCCCACCCCCTCCCCTCCCCCAGCATTCCGGCAGAGAGGGCATCCACCTCCTTAGGCCGCTTTGGTCCCAGCACTGGAGCCTGTCCTCTGCGGCCAGGAGAAAGGGTCAAGCAGCTCGGCTGATGGTTCTGGCCCAATGCAATTGCATTTTCCTCCATTTCTGCAGGCCGGGGGGGAGAAGGGAGAGCGACAAAAGTGGTGACAGGGGGTGGGACGGGGCGAAAGGGAGACCCAAAATGGCCACGGCAAGGACCCCGGCAGAGAGAGGCGTCGTCACCACTGCCTGTTGGTGCCCGGACGGCTCGTGCCCAGCCCCGGTGCCGCTGAGCGGACAGCCTGTGTCCGCAAGGCTGGAAAAGCCGCGGAGAATCACTCCGGAGCAGCGTTGGCATCAGGGTGTTTGTCAGGCAGTCGAGTACAGACACCCACCACCCGGGGGCCTTGCATTTTTCCTGCGTTTTTTTGGCCACCATCTTTGAAGGTCAAGCAAGCTTCAACAGGGCTGCCATCTTGAGCATAGCGTTGCGTGACTTCCGCCCTTCCTTGCCGCCATCTTTGTTGTGGCTTAAGCCACTTCCGGATGAGCAGCCATCTTTGTTGTGGCACTGTTAAGGCCCCTGCTGCTCTCAGCACGTCTGTGAAAAGTCACTTGCCTGAACAAAAAACCGGACGACGCCAACCGACTCCGCGCTCTCTGCACGGTTTTCCTCCGCCTTTCTTGGCGCGACGACAAAGGCAGCAGGGCTCAGCGGCTCCATAGCTGGGCAGTGGCTGCGCCTGCGGTGGCAGGCATTGGAGCCGACACCTCTGCCGGGGTCCTGACTGCCGGCTGCCATCTTGGGTGTCCCTTTCGCCCCGTCCCACCCCCTGTCACCACTTTTGTCGCTCTCCCTTCTCCCCCCCGGCCTGCAGAAATGGAGGAAAATGCAATTGCATTGGGCCAGAACAATTGGCCGAGCTGCTTGACCCTTTCTCCTGGCTGCAGAGGACAGGCTCTCCAGTGCTGGGACCAAAGCGGCCCAAGGAGGCGGCTGCTTTCTCTGCCGGAAGGGTGAGAGGAGGGGGGCGGGGCCCATCGGCACATGCCAAAGTGAAAAGAAGCCCACACTGGTTTGAGGGCTCTGTCTTCAGAATTTTACAGAATTTTACAAGGGATCTTTGAGTACAAAAGGTGGGACATACTGATTTTTTATATGCTGCCCGCTTGGTGTAGTGGAGAGACAACCTGAATTTTGAACTAAAGGAGTACCTCCCAAGCGGATTTGGTCTCTTCACCCATACAGGGACGCGAAGGGTGACGTGGCAAAGGCTGCGTTTGTGAGTAACTTAAGTCTTACCTCCCTGTAGTGGTACTGGACCCTTCACACACAAAGATGAATGAAAACACTGAAAACTCTAGTATAAAAGATCAAGCTACATTTTTTGCTTTATTAGCAAAGCACAATGCTAAGCCCTCCCCAGCCAGGGAAGAATGGGCTCAAAATAATTGATTCAACCTGGAAAATATACCTGATAGAACTTGCTCCCTGCAACATGAGGCAAAGTTCAAATTTGGCCAAAGTCATAATTTGTTCTGCACTGGGAGCTTGCCTTACGTCAGCTGTAAAGGCTCGCACAAGACAAAGGCAGGAAGAAAATGCAATTATTGAATCCCTACAAAATTCAGTTGAAAGTTTGCAAAATGAAAATCACTTGTTACGAACTGCTCTGAGTGGAGAGTATGCCAAAAATTCACGGTATGCTGACTCCTTTAAGGAGTTGTTGGAAAAAGAAACTCCTCAGATAAATCCCATATATTCTCAAGCAGAATTACATTTGGTAAAAAATTGTGAAAATTGTTGCTCACAAATGAGACTTTTGATTAAAACGGAATATAATTATCTCAATGATGAAGATCTTGATCTACACATAACCACTGAAGAAATCCCGTGCGCTGCTACTGAATTGGCTAAGTTGAAAAAGGAGTACAAGCATCTCCCTCACAAGTCGGAGGCAGAATACATGTTCCGAGTGTCTCTCACTGGAGGTGATCAAATTCAATTAACAGAACAAGATGCAGGTGGTTATTTGGGACATGTTGTTTTCTTAACAAGAGGAGATAAAAGCAGCCCATGGTCCCTAACCCAGTGAGCTGCATATTGGGCAGGGGGACTTAACACCCTGGAAAAGGGAGATCCTGTAGCTTTGACTGGCTCCCCAGACCAAATTCTAGAAAATATTTATAAGGCAGCTTGTTTGCAACTGATTCACGAAAGAAAAATAATTGCTGGTTAAGAATCACCAATGTTGTTAGGTGTGGAAGCTAAAATTATGACCCCTTTAATTTGTGGTGTTCCAGAATCACTGAAACCTACAGCAATTCTCCAAACAGCCATAGATGATATCCTTGTGGAAGGAGATGAAAAAGAATAAAAAATAAAGATGCTGAAAAGAGGTACACTACCTGGGAAAAAGGCAAAATTGTTTGTAGTTAGTCCAGCTCTCATAGAAGTAGAAAAAATTGCACAACATCAACCAATTGCATTAAAAGGCCATTTTGAAATTACTGACACAGTCACTACTGGGCCTCTCCACCCTGACGGGGTGGCCAAGAGGGCCTCAGTGAGAAAGTGGTATGCCCAGATTGAACATTACTCTAACATCTTCTCAATAACAGAAGGAGCTGTAAAAAATCAGGTGATACAAAAACCTGAGAGCTTAAGTAGCAGCCATGACAAACCTAACTGGGTAATTAAAGAGACCCCTCCTAACATAAAAACAGAAAAGGGTAGGCAAATTTCTAGCCTACAGTATTGGTGGAGCTTGGGGTTGACGAAAGGGGTACCGAAGGGTTTAATGGTTAACCTGCTGCTTGAAAAATTAAGTAAATTGGTCTCTCAGTGGTAGGATTCCGGCCCCATTGTACCAAGCACTCCATCTCCCCCTCAACTGACTCTAAACAGTGGGTCAAAGGAACACCACTCACAGGTTCTGGACAGTGAGCAAAAACAATCAACAAATTCTTGGTTCACTGATACCTCTGCCAAATAAGAGGGAGAGGTGTGGAGGTGCAGGGCAGTAGCACTCCACCTTTTCTCTGCTGAACGAATTATTACTGTGGGAGAAAGCAGTGCTCGGGCTGGGGATCTGATAGCTGTTTGGAGTGTTTTCCAACATGAGGAACAGAATGCTTCTCCTGTCTGTATGTACACTAACTCCTATGCTATGTTCAAGGGATCTACTGAGTGGATTCCTTTTTGGCAACAAAAGAATTGGGAAGTAAACAGAATTCCAGTATGGCAAAAAGAAAAATGGCAAGAAATTCTACGCTTTCTGCTGGTAAGAGTGGGGATTATATCTTGGTTAGTCGAAACTGAAGCTTTTAAAAGAACTACAGGAGAATATGCATGGGTAGCCTCCGATGCCTTGGGGAAAGAGCATCGGATAAACACCTGCTGGATAATTCCAACATTTTAATCTCCTGCTCCTATGTGGCAGACTTTGTTTTGCTTATTTTCTACAGAAGAACACCAAGGGACATGAAGATCTTGAACCATGAACAATATTTTATTTATTTTATTTATTTATTTATTTTATTTATTAAGTTTTAAATGACAAAACTAATGCTTTCCCTTCTTTTATGTTAGCCCAAGGTGATGATGTTTCAACACGCTGCAAACCGAGTACCGGATCCCACGCTGAACCTGTACAAAGTCATGTCACCGGATCTCATGGCCAGGTTATATCTTGTGAAACTCAGGATCAAGATTTTTGGCTGAATTTAATGGCAGTACAAATGTCCTCTAAAGTTGTGTATACTGACCCCAAAAATTTTTGAAATTGGACCCTAAGACTGGCCAAAAACAAATGCTATTTAATCCAGCATGGTTTTTAAAACAAGTCAAATTACTAATGCAAAACAATGTCTCAGAGATTCAGCCAGCTTGTTCACCTTTTCTGCAAACTTCCTTTGAAGGATGGGCAACCTGGTTGCGAAAGCACAATTCTTTTCACATATGGATGACAAGAGATACAACTGGTGCTGTCGGATCAGGACTAGGAATTTTGAATAGTATTGATTCAGAAATATTAGTGAATAAATTGGCTGTTGCAACTAAAGATTTGACCAAAATACAACAACAACTGAGGTCATCTTTAAGAGCTTTGGGAACCCAACAGCGGTTGCTATCAAACACATTACCAAATTGGGAAATGGTAAGTGTAAGTGATCACGAATTAATAATTGATGCACTTAGTGGTACCCAAAACAATGTTTCTCTGCCTCTTAGCTGTGTCAAGCCCAGTTGTGGATGCAGTTAGTTGCTGCACCAATTATCAGAGAGGGTGAAGAAGGCACCTTACCTACTGAGATTCAGAAAATATTTTGGGACAATGCCAATGATTTTGAAAAAGAATTTCAATTTTAGTAGAATTTGGTGAATTTCACCTATGACCCCACCACACAGCCACAGCTTTTGTGTTGACAATACGTAATGCTTCAGTACATTCAATATTTCCTATCATTGTATTGGAGCTGAATAATGACAGAGCTGTTCTCTATCCTTTAGAGCATAGGGAATGGGCCCATCAGATTGGTGGGAAATGGCAAACTGTTGGTTTAGAAAATTGTATTGTCCAGGAACAACAAGGGTTTATCTGTGAAAGTAATGCAATCAAAGCTCAAGACATTTGTTTAGACACAGAACAGAGAATCTGTTATTTTTAAATCCATCCTAATGAGACTTCTGAAACAGTACTTGTGTATATAGGCAATGGATGTGTATGCTTGAGAACTGCTTGTAGAAAACATAGTAATGTATACTAAAAATCATTCAAATTTTTGTGTATGCCATTTTACTGAGATTATAAGATGTGACTTTTCTTACTTAGCTCCACTTACTTCGTATTATCTTTTGCAGTTTAATTATACTTTGATTCATCATTTAGTGCCTGCTCCAATTGGAATGAACCTCATTCTGGTAAAGCAATTGTTGTTTCACCAGAATTTAATCAAAATTTTTGAAAAGCTTAAAAAAGGAAAGAAATACATTGTGTTTTGGAAAGAGTACTTTACATGGTGCTGATATCCCTAAGGTTATTGATACTCGACGAACTATTCAGACACTACAATAAGTAATTGGCCAATGTGACTATGAGATTAATTAATTTTATTATGTTCTATTTTAGAATAAAATTGGTTGTTTGTTTTATGATGAGAATCCAATCTGTAAGGCTTAGCTGAAATTATATATAGTTTCTTTGAAATCAATATATTGACTTTCTTGTTGTTTTGTTTTCTCTTTTTCCTTTTTCTGTCCTTTACATAATTTCCCTACAACTTGTCTCTGTTTTTTCCGGGATATACTACCAACTGTAATGAGTCCTGAAGATCTCCAAGAAAAACTTTGCAGCAGCACCACAACATCGTGCAGAAAGACTTCGCTTAACGACGATTGTGAGACACAGGGTGGTGTAAAAGACAGTCTGAAGATTCTCTCATCTGTCTCACAGCTGTCTCAAGGACAGAGACTGAGACCCTGAATATCACAACGGACTTGGTTTAGGGGATTGGGCCTAGTCGAGGTGGATGTTTGCTAAGTGATTGTTTGCAGGGGGTTGCACGGTGCACTGCCGTCGTTCCTGCGGGTGAGCAGAGGCTTGTGCATGATACCCTGTGCAACGGGTTTTCCACAACTCATGGCCCTCATTCCCGCTGGTGAGCAAAGACTTGCAAGACATGGTGTTGTGGTTTTAAACCAATAACTAAGAAAATTACTTATTTCTTGCTGTGAGATATGGATTAGAACAAGAGCAAAACAGGCATAAAACTTAAAAGGAAAAAAAAAGAAAGTTTATTGACAAACTACAATAAGAACACCAGAATAAACTTCCAGAAAAACCTTTTCATCCCCTGTCTACCCACTGTTCCCTTGTTCACATGACAAAAGAGACAAAAACTTTGGAACTTTGATGGTTAAAACAGTCCCAATTCTTGCTACAGTCTTTTCACCAGTCTTTATAGAGAAACAGAAGTTTCTTCCTGTTAATTTATGGAGTTTCTCACAAGAAAAA